TGCTTGGGCAAAGCTCCCAGAGTCCATGAGGAGAATAAAGTCACCCCAGCCAGCCTGCCTGAGACTTTAACCACCAGACACTCCTGGGCTCTCCAGCTACTGAACAATGAACCCCAGTGAATTAGAATTTCCCCAGGCATTTCATGCTGAGCCTGGAAGACAGAAAGGGCTGGAGCCTGGTGCCAGCCAGAGGCTTCCACACACTTCTGACAACCACAGACCACCTTGCTGGAGAGATGGGACCTGAGACCATGACGGGTGGGCCCACATCTCTTGTCTTCAGTTTAAACCCTGTAAGACAGACTACCAAAGTCACGGGATTGCTGTGCTTCTCTGGGTGTGTCCACATGTGGCTGCTGGAAATTGCTCCGGAAGAGCAAGCAGCCTGTGCTCTTAACCTCTGAGCCATCTCTCCAGCCCCACCCCCTCTCTTTTGGAGATAGGGTCTCTCAAGGGCTGGAGAGATGGCTCAGAGGTTAAGAGCATTGCCTGCTCTTACAAAGGTCCTGAGTTCAATTCCCAGCAACCACATGGTGGCTCACAACCATCTGTAATGGGGTCTGGTGCCCTCTTCTGGCCTGCAGGCATACACACAGACGGAGATAGGGTCTCTCTTGTAGCCCTGGCTGTCCTGGAACTCATTTTGTAGACCAGGCTGACCCAAAACTCACAGAGACCCACCTGTCTCTGCCTCCCGAGTGCTGGGATTAAAGGCGTGCCTCCGTGCCTGACAACTTTATCTCTTTTAAGATTATTACTATTGTTGTTGTGCTGGCGGTGGTTATTAATTATTATGTGGCAGATGCAGGTGGCCATGGGCTGCATGTGGAGGTCAGAGGACAACGTTGTGCAGTTGGTTATCTCTGTCCACCTTTACATGGGATCTGAGGATCGAACTCGGGTCACCAGTCTTTTTTTTTTTTTTAATTTATTTATTTATTATGTATACAACATTCTGCCTCCATGTATGCCCACACGCCAGAGGAGGGCGCCAGATCTCATTACAGCCATGGTTGTGAGCCACCATGTGGTTGCTGGGAATTGAACTCAGGACCTCTGGAAGAGCAGACAGTGCTCTTAACCACTGAGCCATCTCTCCAGTCCCAAACCCCTTTACTCAATGAGCTGCTTGTCCCTTTATTTGGCTTGAGGACAAGTGGTCAAACCTGGCTCTTTAGAGCTGCCTGGGTCAGCACCCAGTGTCTCCCCTCAATAGCCTCTGTTGTGAGTCCATTGCCCTTTCAGCTTTGCCATGGCCAGAGACTGCTGTAGATGTGCTCCCCCACACACAAAAAGATCCCTCAACCCCACACCCCTCCACAGGGGAGACCCCACAGCCCAGAGAGGGCTTATCAGGATTCTACAGGGCTACAGATTCGTCTAGGTGTTTCCTGCAAGTTATGCTCATTCTGCCCATCCCAAGCGGACCAGTGGGACCTCCCCTGGCGCCGCATCAACTCGCAGGTGGGGCAGAACAATTCGACAGGTGCAGGAGAGGCTTTGTCTACATACAACAAACAGCCCTTTACTCTCAGTCTCACGGAAGGCGGATACCACCTCTCCTCACTCTCTGGTGCCAGAGGGGCAAGCGGGTCTCCTCCAAAGTGGGCATCTCAGCAAGAGTAGGTTCCCAGGCAGCTCAGCCACCTGACATCCCATCCTTGAGGCATAGTCCTCTCTGCCACTGGAGGGAGAGACAATAGGGACCTTTTCTCCAGCTGGCGTGATGTCTAGTTAGATTCAACATGCAGACACCCCAGAACAGATATCTGAATAGCTCTTGGTCCGTTATGGACTTGTTTAGGGTCGTTCAATGTCTGCTTGGCTGTGACCCATAGCAGGTACTTATAATCACAGCCAGATGGAAGAGAGGTAGAACCCGGCAGCTCGCTAATCTAACCTATTTGGGAAAGTTCCAGTAAGAGATCTTATCTCAAAGGTAAAGGCACCTGAGGAGTGACCCTCGCCTTCCAAGTACACATGTGCATGCTCACACTCACTCCAGGGCCTCTCTGAAGCAGCCTCTATCGAACACCGAAAGAGCCACTGGCCTGCTCATCCCAGGCAGGTCTCTGGCAGTGAAGGAGCTGTCAGGGAGAGGTGCTCACAGCGTCTTCTGGGGAGGATGTGAGTCTCCGTGTTTCACCAGCCCTGCTGGGAACTCCAGCCTAGACCTTCCAGGACTCCTGCCTCAGGCTGAGCACCTCACCCACCTGGGCATGCCAGGGCCCTGGTTCTCAGGAGCACCTGACCCTATGAGTCACCAGCTTACCCATGCTCACACCGCTTCTGAGCTGCTTGCCTAATGGCCTGAGGCCAGGTCAATACGTGTCAGAGAACTAGAAACCAAGATAGGCACTCAGAAGCAGGATGTGGAGGGCACAGAGCTAAAAGGAGGCTTCCAGTCCGTCGGTTCCCACAGAGTTTAAACCCCTGTGGAGGGCCAGGTGTGGTGGACCGCGCCTTTAATCCCAGCACTTGAGAGAGGCAGAGGCAGGTGGATCACTAGGAGTCACAGGCCAGGGCTACATAGTGAGATATCATACTTCAAAAATTAAAATCAGCTCTGGAAAGATGGCTCAGCTGTTAAGCGCACTTGTTGCTCTTGCAGAGGACCCAGGTTTGAGTCCCGTCACCCACATGGTGGCTCACAACCATGGGTATCTAGTTCCAGGGGATCTGAAGCCTTCTGACTTCCTCAGACACCCATGTGCTGCAAGCCAAACACCCATATACATACAATGAATAAATCAACAAAAATACATTTAAACTGGGGTGGTGGCACACACCTTTAATCCCAGCACTCACGAAGCAGGGGCAGGCAGATAACTGTGAATCTCAGTAAACTAAAATATCAGTGTTGAGAGCCTTTTGCTTTGTTTTTGAGGTGGGCCATGTAATGGTAGTCCTGGCTAACCCTGAACTCAATACTTGTATCCCCTCCCAACGTTGGACTATAGGCAATGTACTACCTTGGCTGCTCATTTTGAGGTTTTTAGGGATTTAGATTTTTGAGACAGAGTCTCACTCCATGGGGAGAGATGGAGCATACACCAGTGTGGAGAGTTCTTATGTGTGGAGACAGAAGGTTGTCCCTGTGGATTCAAGGAGAAGCCCAGAGTCTATTGGATGAGCTCCGGCCACAGCTGGGCCACAGGCAGGGTCCTGCTTCTCCTGTTCCACCAAGACCCAGGAAACAGGCTGCACTTAGGCCTTGGTGAGACAGCTAGCTCGGTGACCAACTGATGTGGGATGCCACCCCGTATGCTGTGAATGTGTTTCATTGCCATTGGCTAATCAAGAAGCTGCTTTCGGCCAATCCTTTAACAGAGTAAAGCCAGGTGGAAAATCTGAACAGAGATGTAGAAAGAGAGTAAACGGAGTCAAAGAGACGCCATGTAGCTGCCAAAGTTGTAACATGCCGGCACCAGTAAGCCACAGCCTAGTGGTGATACATAGATTAGTAGAAATGGGTTAATTCAAGATGTAAGAGCCAGCTCGAAACATGCTAGAGTCAATGGCCAAACAGTATTGTAATTCATGTAGTTTTCATATGATTATTTCGGGTCTGGGCGGCCGGGAAGTGAACAAGCAGCCTCAGCCAACAGGTGATGTTAGGACAGCAGTTCTCAACCTGTGGGTCTCAGTCCCTTTGGGGTTCTAATGACCCTTTCGTAGGGGTCGCCTAAGACTGTCAGAAAACACAGATATTCACATTATAGTTCATAAACAGTAGCAAAGTTACAGTTATGAAGTAGCAACAAGAATATTTTTGTGGTTGGGGGGGTCACCATAAAATAAAGAACTGTATTAAGGGGTCGCAGCAAGGAACTTGGAGTGGCGGTCAAAGCAAAAGTCAGGTTGTCCAAGGTTCATCACCATGTGAGCCAATCACATCGAACCCTCTAGCCCATCGTGTTTATTGAGCAACATTGTGTGCCGTGCCTCAGAGATACACAGGTGTGCCCTGCCTGCCCTGCCTCCCAGAATCACAGTCTAGGCCACAGGGCCCAGCACAGCTTCTCTGGGAGCCCCTGCCATCTTCATGTGGATTTTTCTTCTTTCTTTTTTAAGAATGCCTCCAACTTCCCCACCTCCTTCCTGCCACCCAAATCAGTGCCCAGGGTCATCATGTACATGGCAGAGCAGAGCGGTGACTGCCCCTTCCCTGGTCCGTCTGTCTCCTTGGCTTCAGTGTCCTGGTCCCCAGCACAGGCAGAGGGAGAAGCAACCTTGCTGCAACGCTCAGCAAATCCCCATGACCTGGAGTGACCATGGTTCATGAATTCTCCTGCTTTCTCCGAGCACTCACTCCTGGGATCCCAAGGCCCCTTCTCTGGGTCTTCAGAGGCTTCTGAGTTTCCATTTTGGGAGAAATAACTTCTGAACAAGTTGCTTATAGTAGCCCAACTGCCTGGGTTCAGGGAGTGGTTTAATGAAGAACACAGGCGAGGTGGTTCGTGTTCCTTCACCTGCCGCTACCTCCTGGGTCCCTGCCATCCCAAAGTTTGAGTTCTGCAACCTGTGCTGGGTTCCATTCCTCCGAAGCCACCAAGTTCCTTAAGGCCACGGGGAAGCCTTAGACTTGTCTCATCCTTTGTCACCTGTGAAGACCACTGGGCCTGGTGTATGGGAAAGAGAATGCGTGGAGGAGCAAATTAGGAAGTCCTCCTCATCACTACCTGCAGTAGAGGTCACTGGGAGGGGAAGCCTAGGAGTGGAGGAGGTGGTTCGCCAAGCCCTGCTCAGTGCTCTGAAGAGCTTCCGGAGTGGGCAAAGGTCAAAGCCCTCCCACGTCATTTCTCTGTTTATAGAGAGGTTCACAAGCCCAGCTGATATCCAGGCGTGGCCGGAAATGCCGTCACCCATCAGAGCAGGTGGCCCAAGTGAGCTCCAAGACCAGAGGTTGGTCTGCTGCCCACACTGGGGCAGGCCTGTCCCTGCTGAGGCAGCTTTGGCTGGCCCAGTGCCAGAACCATTTCTACCCGTCCAAGTCTGGGTTTCTTCCTCACCCGGCAGACATTGCTTTATTCTCCTGCCCTGACATTCTCTTTTCCCTCCAGCTGAGCCCTTAAAGTCTTCATCATCCGGATAGGTCATGAGCATCGGATTCTTGCTAGGGTGTGGGCGCTCACTGTTCTCGAAGTGAGGGAGATGTAGCCACCATCTGGAACTTCCTTGGTCAGCTAGCCCATCCAGGTCCCCGTCCTGGAACATCCAGGAGCCTACCTACCAGGGCCGCCAGAGGCCAGGGCTGCCCGGAGGAGGCACCTGCGGAGAGGGAGCTGGAGCAGTGGCGGGCGTGGGCGTCTGTGAAGGCGAGCCACTACTGATAGTCCTCTGCCTCAGGTGCTCCAGCAGGCGCGCGCTCACGGCCGGCTCCAAGACGCTGCAGGCCGGCAGCACGCGGGCCAGGCGCTCCAGACAGGCTTGGTAACCCTCGAGGTAGCTATCCAAGGACCCTGCGGACAGAGAGCAACGTGAGGCTCAGGTGCAAGCACTGTGCACGCAGCAAAGGCCGTGGGAGCGAGGAGCGTGGTCACTCACCCGGCGCTGCAGTGAGGTAGGGGGACGCAGGCTGCTCCTGCAGGAAGCGCACGGTCATTTCCAGGATGTCCGCTTTTTCCAGCTTCGAGTAGCGGGAAGTCTGCACCAGGCCAGGCAAGAAAGATACCCCATAACAAACCGGGCAGCTGGGTACCTCGTTCTTGTATCCAAATGCTAGCCAGTTGCCCGATGGTCTCTACCAGTCCATCGCTCAGATCTCTTCAGGAGGCCTTCTGGTCCCGAAGGAGTCCCGGGACCACGCCCGCCCACCCGCCCCACTGTGCGCCTCAGGACTCTCCACCTCGGTTGCCCGAGCTCCCAGACACTCACCTCCGCGCCCAGCAACGGCAATACCAGCCCCTTTAGCTGGCTCAGGCTCTCGTTGATCCGTGCGCGCCGGCGCTTCTCCAGCAGCGGTTTCAGGCTCTGCCCGAAGGTGGATGGGCGCAAAGGCCACAGTTAGGAAAATCGCGGGTGCCTACCCACCCTGCCCTGAGTCCCTATCTCCCACGCCTACCTTGCGCAGCTCCGCCGCGTCCCCTACTCTTCTAGGCAGTCTCATGCTCCGGGGAAAAGCGCGCAGGGTCCGGTACCTCGGGGTGAAGGATCCTTGTCCTTGCTGCAAGGCAGAGCTAAGAACGAAGCCGGGAACCAAGTTCAAAGCCTAGCCCAATCTCGCGCCAAAGAAGTGCGCGCCCAGCCAGCCGCAGGCCTTTAAGAAGGCTGTGTCCCTGCTCCGCCCCGCCTCACGGAGTCCGGCCAGTCGCCGCTCCCACCTCCCGCCTTTGTCCCTGCACAGGGTGGGGCTGGAGAGGACGAGTCTGTGTTACCCCCCAGAGATGCCACTCTGGCCTTAGAGTCCCATCTGTGATACGGTCGCGCGACGTGCGGGTGCTGACTCCCTGGACAGGAAGGGTGGGTGGGGCCGGTTCTTGACTCCTCTGGCTTCATTCACGCCCACCGGGCTTCGAGCTCCTCCCTGGGCCTCAAGGGCTCCAGCCGCTGAAAGCTCCGGAGCTCCGGACCTCAGGGAGATCATTCGCTCTACCAACTGCCCCGAGCTGGACGTGGAAATCCAGTCCTAGCAAGGTCCAATCTGGTTCTGGCTGCCAGAACCAGAACTGAAGTCGCTGGACCCCTGGCTATAAACACTTCGTAGAATTTAGGGCACCCCACCTGGTTCCCCGGGCCTAGAGTGTGAAAAGGAAACCTGAGCCCCACTCCCCAAGATGAGGCAACCCAAAATCTTCGGAGTTCATTTTCAATTCACTGGGCTCTAGGTTCCCGATTCCTGCTGTCGGACAGTCGGAGGTCACATGGCCGGCGAGTAGGGGCGGTCCTGGGTGTGTGCCCCGGCTGCTCCCCTCGGCCCCAGCGGGCCCAGACACGCCTCCACAACGCGTGGCCGTTGCTGCGGCAAACTGGCAGGCGTCCCCCGCCCATCTGCTGCCGGCTCCCCTCCCTGGGTCGGCTGGCAGGGCAACGGCCGCCTTCTTGGACCCTGTTGCAGCTTTGAGGCAGTCTCAGGCCCGGAAAGCGAGGCTGGCACAACCAGAGCCAGTAGGAGGCGCTCGTGGGGCGGAGCCGGGAAATGCTCTGTCCAGGGTACTGGAAGGACCCCCTCCTTCCTGCCTTTGAGCCGCATTCCCTTCGCTAGCCCCAAATCCTTGGAAGTAATCCCACAGCAGGCCTTCGAAAACGATGGAGGCCAGTGCACCAGGAAGGGGGCGCAAGGCAGCCTGGGCATGAAAGCTCAGCCCTCCTCTTTCTATCTATGACACACAAGGTCCCACAACCACCACCAAGGAGTTACTTTGTGCAAGCTCAGAGCTCATTTTCGACCATCAACCCAATGATCCTAACATGAGGATTTGTCCCAGCAGGCCTTGAGATGCCTGATTCCCTAGTTCTCTTTCACAGTCGGGTCTAGCATGCCTATGGGCTAGTCCCTCACCATGTAGACCAGGCTGGCTTCAAACTCACACAGATCAACCTGCCTCTGCCTCCCGAGTGCTGGGACTAAAGGTGTGCGCCACCTCACCCATTAATTATTCCCTAAGAGCTCAAAAAGGGCCGGTGGTGGTGGTGGTGGCAGGTGAATCTCTGTGAGTTTGAGGCCAGCCTGATATACAGAGCAAGTTCCAGGACAGCCAAGGTTACACAGAAAAACCCGCTCTCAAAAACAAAAAAGAGAGAAAGAAAGCTCAAAAAAGGACTTTAGAATTTTACAGGGCTCCGTGGTTAAGAGCAAGCACTGGACTTGTGGAGGCCCCAAGCTTGATTCCCAGCACCCACGACAGGTGGTTCACAGCTAACTACCTGTGACTCCAGTTCTGGGGGATCTGGTGCCCTCTTCTGGACTGCTCAGATATAGGGGTCATATGTACAAGTCTACATATAGACACACATACACAGTTAAAAATAAAAGGGGGGGGGGCTGGAGAGCAGAGGTCCTGAGTTCAATTCCCAGCAATGACATGGTGGCTCACAACCATCTATGAGATCCGGTGCCCTCTTCTGGCGGGCAGGTATACATGCAGACAGAACATTGTATACATAATAAATAAATAAATTTTAAATAATAATAATAATAAAAGGATTTGTGGGTCAGGCGGTGGTGGCACACGCCTTTAATCCCAGCACTTGAGAGGCAGAAGCAGGCGGATCTTTGTGATCCAGACCAGCCTGGTCTACAGAGTGAGTTCCAGGACAGTCAGGGCTAAACAGAGAAGCTCTGTCTTGAAAAACAAAAAACAAAACCAAAATGACTGTGTGGCAGGGCAGTGGTGACATGCACCTTTAATCACAGCACTTGAAGGCCGAGGCAGGCAGATCTCTGAGTCTGAGGCCAGTCTGGTCTACAGAATAAGTTCCAGGACAGCCACAGCCAGGGATACATATAGAAACCCTGTCTCAAAATATCAAATGTTTAAAAAAGTACAAAAAATAAAAATAAGGGGGCCTGGCGAGATGGCTCAGTGGTTAAGAGCATTGTCTGCTCCTCCAAAGGCCCTGAGTTCAATTCCCAGCAACCACATGGTGGCTCACAACCATCTGTAATGGGGTCTGGTGCCCTCTTCTGGCCTGCAGGCATACACACAGACAGAATATTGTAAACATAATAAATAAATATTTTTAAAAAGTAAAAATAAATAAAAATAAAAAGGACAGCCTAAAGGCCCTAAAGCTACAGAGAAACCCTGTCTCAAAAATAGATAGATGATAGATTGATTGATGGATGATAGATAGATTGATAGATAGATTGATTGACTGATTGGCAGATGGTAGATAAATAGATAGATACATAGATAGACAAACAGATGATTGATAGCTAGCTAGATAGCTAGATAGCTAGATAGCTAGATAGCTAGGTAGATAGATAGATAGATAGATAGATAGATAGATAGATAGATAGAACAGTGTGGAGTCCCTTCTCCTGCCAGTTCATTCAACTCATCATCCCCAAGCCCACCCTACACTGACCAAATCCCTGGAGAGAGACCGATATGAGGCCCTAGGGTGAAGTGTGGGAACATCCCTTTCCAGAGATGAAGACCACTATTTGAAGACCCGAGAACAGAGAAGCAAATTCCCTTTGCTATGCCAGTTACCTCGACATTAAGTGTCTCTCCCCTACCACTCCCATCCCCACTGTAAAGGAGTTTAACCAGGTGCTGCACCTCTCCCTTCAACCAAAAGACTCCGAGGGTTTGCTAGCAATTTGGAAGATGGGGTCTCTTAGAAGCAGAACTTGGGTGATCAGAGAATGAGTCTCAAGCTCACTAGGACAACCTATAGCGCTATGGGGACACACTCTACCCCTGATGCTACCTGGGATATCAAGAAATGTGCTGGCCCTTGGCTGGAAGAGAAGCCTGAGGATTGGTTTGCACCCAATTCAGGAGTGAGAGCTAGGGTGGGCCCAACAGAGGGATAGGAAGAGGGGGGAGGGAGCCAGAGGGGAGCTGTGGGGAGAGGGGATCAGCCTGAGAGGCAGAGAGAGAAAGCACAACTGGACAGTCAGATTTGCCACGTCCCATCTGTGCCATCTCCGGCTTTAAAAAGCAAAGGATAGGGAGACAGCTCAGTGGTTAAGAGCACTGTCTGGAGGCTGGAGAGATGGCTCAGTGGTTAAGAGCACTGTCTGGAGGCTGGAGAGATGGCTCAGCCGTTAAGAGCACTGGCTGTTCTTCCAGAGGTCCTCTTGAGTTCAATTCCCAGCAACCACATGGTGGCTCATCCGTAATGAGGTCTAGTGCCCTCTTCTGGCTCACAGGCAGAACACTGTATACGCAATAAATAGATAAGTCTTAAAAAACAAAAACAAAAACTGTGAAATGCCTCAGTGGGTAAGGGCATCAGCCACTAACTTGATGACCCGGGTTTGATCCCCAGGACGCACAAGGTGAGAGGAGAGAACCAATTCCTGCAAGTTGTTCTTTAACCTCCACCTACCTTTTACATGTACTGAGAGCACCAACCACACACACACACACACACACACACACACACACACACACGCATGCACGCGTGCACACACACAAATGAAGACAAACTTCTCATGCCTCTGTCTCCACAGCTGTAAAATGAGAGTTGAATCCCTCTCTGAGCCACTTGTGGTATCTCATGCCTGTAATCCTAGCATCATAAAGAGGAAATGAGATTCAGACGTTCAAGACCAGCCTGGGATGAATAACAAGTTCAAAGCCAGTCTCCGAAACAAAATAAAATAAAAGCTCCCCTATGGGGGCTGGAGAAATGGTTCAGCGGTTAAGAGCATTGCCTGCTCTTCCAAAGGCCCTGAGTTCAATTCCAGGCAACCACATGGTGGCTCACAACCATCTGTAATGAGGTCTGGTGCCCTCTTCTGGCCTGCAGGCATACACACAGACAGAATATTGTATACATTAAAAAAAAAAAAAGGCCCTCCTATAAGGATTAACCATTTGAATGAAGAGCTTGCACCATGCCTGGCTAGTGGCAAGGGTTTCTGTATTTGTATCACCACTGACGGCCTCTTTAAAACTGCTGGGGAGAATTTAGTGGAGTGGAAAGTCCTGATAGGACAAACAGACAGACACACAGATGAAAGGCCTGGCTCTCAGGCTGAGGGTCAGCTGTGTCCTCAAGGAATCTGAGGACTTACTTGGTACTGAACACAGACAATTCTCCCACACCACAAGGACGTGTAGTAATACCTGGCTTTATGTCAGAGTCGCTGGCTGAGTTGGGAATGACTCAGAGGCTTTGGAGTGCAGGAGCAATGCACGAAAAAGCCATGTGAGGTGTCAAGGCAGCAACCTCACAGGGTGGAAGGATTGCAGGAGTTCTGTCATGAAGGAAGCACAGGGGAGTGGAGCCCAAGTCCAGCCATAGTTTAGAGAGACTCCTGCCACTTACTGGCCGTCGGGGGCTCCTGCCTGTCTACCAAGCAGGCATAATTATGACACAGTAAGGAATCCAGAAATCTCTGGGGAAAGGTCACAGATCCCAGTAACAGCAGGAATGAGGCCTCACCAGCTGGGCAGAAGTGCCTGACGCTCCCTTGAGCACACAGCGAAGTTTGAGTTCACCTGGGAGCTCCAGCCACCATGAATGGCGCCACCATGTGGTGAAAACAGAAATGGTAGTAGAGACTGCTCAGGACCAGGAGATTAACGCGATTCGGTGTTCTGCAAACAGTTTCCGTCTGTCTCCGTTTCCAGCACCTCCCTGGCTGATAGGAGTTAGGCACTCAATTGGAAAACATCGGCCAGGAATGCGCCTGGGTTCTGACAGACCTCCGCTGTGCGTGGGGGAAGAAGAGGGAGAGCACAAGCTGTTTCAAGGTTGTACGATATGCTTGCTGCGCTCCCACGGCTCACGCGCTCCTTCCTGGGAGCCTTTGCTCCAGTCCAGCAGACCTTGCCTCCTCCAGTTCCCATGATCTGTGTCCAGCCATGGCCCATAGGGTGTTTTGTACTTACCTGCCTGGACCCTCAAACACGTCCCAGTGTTCTTGATCACGTGGTGATACCGACTCTTTGGACGAAGGCACTGGAGCATCTGCCTACCAGCCCCCCAGCCCTCACATCCTTCATTTCTGATCTCTTGGTTTGACAGCCCTGCACCTTCAAGTTCATGATCCACTCTCTCATTCCCCACTGCAGCATGGATTAATCAGAATCTCCAGCATCCTGTTCCAAACAGCTCTAAAACACCTCGACACGCTTGTCCTTCCTTCCTTTCGTTAAGAAACAGATCCTTTGGGAGGCAAAGGCAGGCGGATCTCTGTGAATTCGAGACCAACCTGATCTACAAGAGCTGGTTTTAGGGAAGGCTCCAAAACTACAGAGAAGCCCTGTCTCAAAAAAACCAATATATATATCCTATGGGTTTGGGTTGGTTTTGGTGGGGGGTGGTGGTGGTTTGGTTTGGCTTGGCTTTTCAATCATTATTTATTTGGGGGGTCCATGTGCGTGTGCATGTGGGGGTCAGAAGACAGCTCATGGGGGTTGGTTCTGTCCTCAACCCTCTAAGTCCCTGGGACGGAACTTATGTTTGTCAGGTTTGGCAGAAAGCCAAACTTTACCCACTCATTTTGCTGGCTCCCTTCTTCCTTTCTCTTTCTGCCTTCTTCTGTCTCTCCTCTTTTTCTTCGATCTAGACTCTAGAGACACCTTGGCACGCAGAGAGCACTGGGCACTCGGCATTCTGCACGTGATGGGACATTTTTAAGTTTCTCCACAGTGGCGTCCAGTTCCCTGGCTTTGAACGTCCCTTCTTACCAACCAGATCCAGCACCAGGCACCTTCTTGATGCCCATGACAAACCATTTCCTATCTCCAACTTGCCAGGTTCTAGTGACACTTGTAGCTCTTTGTAACTGCCATCAGCTGCTAGCTTGTGTTCCCAGCACCCGAAACAACACGCAGTGGCCACTGGGCCGCTGAATGAACGGGTCTGTGTCTGGGTGGCAGTAGAACCCTACTCAATTATTTATGTGCAGCAAATCAGAAGAGGAACCTGCTGCGCACCAACCCTTGTCACCCGCCGGGGATGGGGGGGACGGCTCAGAGCCCGGGAGGCGGGGCAGAGAGGAGGCGTGGCGGGGGCGGATCCAAGGCTTAAGCGGGGCACTCTCGGGGTCCCCGCCCCAGAGCGCTGCAGAGACGGAGTTGAGTCCCAGGGATAGCAGAGCCGGAGCCGACGAGCAGCCGCTCGGCCTCTGGGGTTCACACTCCTGCGCCGCCGGGAGCCTAAGGCCACCCACCCGCATGACGCCAGGGAGAACCCACTGAGCGCGGGTCACGGTGCCGAGGGCGACACCATGGCCCTGGAGCAGGCGCTGCAGGCGGCACGCCAGGGCGACCTGGACGTGCTGAAGTCCTTGCACGCCTCCGGCCTGCTGGTTCCTACTTTGCGCGACCGGCTGGATGCTCTGCCAGTGCACCATGCAGCCCGATCTGGCAAACTTCACTGTCTGCGCTACCTGGTGGAGGAGGTTGCCCTCCCGGCCGTGGCCCGCTCGCGCAACGGCGCCACAGCCGCCCACGACGCCGCCGCCACAGGCTACCTCTCCTGCCTGCAGTGGCTGCTCACACAGGGTGGCTGCAGAGTGCAGGTGAGTCCACTCCAAGAGAGGGTTTGGGCCCAAAGAGGACTCCAAGGATGGGTGGAATATAAGTGGTCTTGGCTAGGCTGAGTCCTGCAGGCTTCTCTTTCCAGAAGGCTTTAGACAAGGTGGGCTCCCGAGACTGAGGACATGGGTAGATTCCTGGCCGCTTGATATCAGGGAAACCCAAAGGGGACCGGACTCAGTAGAGCTGGTATCTCCAAGTGCAGGCAAAGCACAGATCGTAGAGGGAATGGCCTAGGCTTGGAGGAAGTTGGGGGCCGTGATGGGCCTTGGCTGACAAATTAGAAGCCTGTGTCCTCCAGGCTCAGGTCTGGAGGGAGAGTGCACAAGGTCCCATAACTTACCCTAGGCCAAAATCCAGATACCACTAAGTCAGGGACAAAGGTAGTGGGACGTGAGGTGGGGGAGTTCTAGGACATAGGAGGATCCAAAGGCATCAGCAATGCTGGGCCTTCCAACTCCAAGGCCCTTCTCAGCCCAACCTGAATCTTTGTGCCTGGGATAACCACCTGGTCCCTCTGAGGACCTGCCAGGGGGACATCTGGCTGAAGAGTGGACAGAGAGTCCTCATCACAGAGAACTAGAAACACCCTAAGATGCCCACACTCCTGGGGGGAAAGCTAAGGAAACCAGAGTGATGGAGAGGGGTGGGGCAGGGAGGCCGCCAGGCTTGGCCCAGAGGCTCTCCTAGGCTGAGGGAAGGGATCAGTATGATATTCTGGTTGCCTGAGCAGCCAGCTGAGGAGGGAGCACATCTGATCTCCGCCTGACAGAGACCACTGGATGGTTCACATCTATAATCACAGAACTTGGGAAACTGAGGCGGGATGATGGCTGTGAGTCTGAAGTCACCCCGGGCCTCAGAGTTGAGACCCTGTCTCAAAAAAAAAACAACCAAACAACAAAAACCTCACAGACCACTGGGTTAACTGCACACAAAAGGGGCGCAAGCCAGCGCCAGTCTGGTCTGCAGGGACCTAGCAAAACACAGTACAGCTCCCAGCTCTGGTCCCCCCTCCTGTGGGAGGGCAAGCCCCGCCTTCCCATCTTTCTGGAAGATTCTTTCCTTACCTTATCTCCTGGCCTTGTTATTTCCACGCGGTCCATGCCTCCCTCTTTCGGGAGGTGCCTGCCTCCCTGATTCCACATCCAGCACTGGTCAGAAGACTCTCTTATCGCTACAGAGGAGGTGGAAGGAACAAGCAGCCTTGGGCCGGCTAATCAGTCTTGTGTCCTGTACACCCAGAAAGCTGGGGGCAGAAGCGTGGAGGGGTGACCTCGATCTCTGGTCCTGTCCAGCCCACAGATAAACAACTTAGGATGTGGGCCTCAGCACACAAGGCTCCCAGGGCCTACCCAGCTGGTGGCACCTTGAATGCAGGCCATTGGCTTCACACTGCCATCATTATCCAGAAACCCTGAGCTGCAGAGATGCCCTAGAGCCTCAGGCCCATGTCCCCAAGAGCAGTGGAGAGGGAAGGCCTTTTTCCAGAGCCAAATTACCAGACCTCCATCACTGTAGTCCTCCTTCAGCCACCTCTGGCCGGCCCATGGCTGAACTCAGGAGAACAGACTAACCAAGCCTACAATGTGCAGTAGGGAACTGAGGCATCTTCCTTAGTCTCTTATGGGCATGGGGCATTCACTTTCTGTCCCATGATCCTCCCTGCCTCTACAGCCTGACAGGTAACAACCCAGTCCCTGTGTCCCTTTCTTCTTTCAGGAGGCTCTGAGGTCTCCCTGCTGAGATTCACCTGCCTCAGGGTCTCTGTGCCTTGACCAGAGATGTTGCTGAGGTACCCTCTCCCTGCAGGAGAGAAGAGACCTCACTTCCTGGTCACCACTCACAGCAACTCCACACTTTCTCTGGTGTCTATGTGCTGGATGCTGACAGATTGTCAGCTTCTACAATAGCACCTGCTCTCAAACGCAGCAGCCTCAGTGGGGACATCTGGGGTCTCAGTGGTTCTCTCCCTGCCCATGACCTCAGCCCCTCCTCCCAGACACACACACACAACACACACACACACACACATACATGGAGAGAGAGAGAGAGAGAGAGAGAGAGAGAGAGAGAGAGAGAGAGAGAGATTGAGGACCCAGAGGGTGGAGAAAAAGACCCTCTCAGCCTCTCAGTAGGAAATTTTGGAAGCAGAAGTCAGGTCTTAGGCTGGCTGCCCCGGGCCCTGCCCACCAGTGCCCAGCAACCTCCTCCTCCACAGGGTGAGGACACAGCTTGTTCCTGAAGCTGTGTGCAGGGGAGTCTGCAGGAGGGCAGCTTCTTGCAGGAGGGAGGTGGGGGTTGGGTTGTTGGAGGTATACCACGATGGAAGGCTCTGTCCCTCCCAAAGGACAGCTGGGAATGAGGAAGAGGAGGAATGAGGGCTGGAGGCAAGGGGAATCCTAATGCCAGCCTGGTGGAGACCCAGCTATCCCCTCCCTGTCCGCCTCACTTAGCCCAGCAATGTAGTCATGGGCTCACATGTTTCCTAGGTGCCAGGGCTGCGCACAACTGTTGCTGTGACAAAGGGTGCCATGTCCTGGGAGCCTCGTGTACTGGCAGCTCTCCATCATGCCCCGAAGGCCTCCAAGAGTCCTTTCTACCTATGGCCCAAGGGTCAAAGCCAGCCAGGAGTTGCCTAAGGACAGAAGTAGATTCAAATTCCTGAGATCTATTTCCCCTCCAAAGCATGCTCAGTTAGGCACAGCCGTTCCCTCAAGGGAGGGTCAGCACATGGACATGTGCCCCACCTCCCAGAGGAGGCTGGCCGTGGACTGAGCACCTGGCAAGAACAGGTTCCGACGGCAGCGTTTTAACTAGCTCTCTCAACGCAGGAAAAAGATAATTCTGGTGCCACAGTCCTGCATCTGGCTGCCCGCTTTGGCCACCCGGACACGGTGTACTGGCTTCTGCATCACGGCGGTGCGAACTCAGCCATCACCACAAACACAGGTGCCCTGCCTCTCCACTATGCCGCCGCCAAAGGAGACCTTCCCTCCACGAAGCTTCTGGTCGAGCATTACCCTGAGTAAGAGCCTCTCTTTGCGTCCTTGTTCTGGTTTTGTGCTGGGAATTGAAACAGGGACTCGCATATGCACAGAGTCCGTCACGGAGTTGCACTCCCAGGCCAGGTCGCCCACTTTGTTTTTTGAAACAGGCTCTTATATAGCTCAGGCTGGCCTCGAACTTGCTAAGTAAAGGATTTGGGCCTTGGATTCCTGATCTATACTTTTTTTCTTTCTTTTATTCGTTTGTTTATTTATCCATATTTCTTGAGATGGGTCTTTGGTTGGCCTGGAACTTACTATGTTGACCAGGATGACCTCAGACTCACAGAGATCTGCCTAGGGGCCTCTGCCTCCTGAGTGACTTCCAGGCCCAGGCTAAGGGTTCTCAGTCTTTCTGCTGACCACTTCCCAAGGACTGGAATTACAGGTCTGACTACCTACCACATGGGACTTCAGGACTTTTCTCTTAAGGAGGTCTCAGAGGCAAGGCTCTAGGGGATACCTGGAGGCGGCCATTAGTGATCATACGGGGTTCAGAAGCCCAAGCCTAAGACAGGTCCAGCCGAAGTGAAACTTCTGCCTTTTACACAGCCCGTCGTGGCCTCTGTTTCAGGCTCTGCAAGCAGATGCCCCCTACCTTAGTCCCCCTATTAGCTTAGAGTTGGAGTTGAAGCTGGGCAGTGATGGCACACGCCTTTAATTCCAGCACTCAGGAGGTAGAGGCAGGTGGAATCTTTGTGAGTTCGAGGCCAGCCTAGTCTACAAGAGCTAGTTCCAGGACAGGCTCCAAAAGCTACAGAGAAACCCTGTCTTGAAAAGCCAAAAAAAAAAAAAAAGTTGATTTGGTACACTGGGCATGCATGCAAGCCCAGGTCACTCGCCCTCCTCTGGATGCTTGCCTGACTGCAGCAGGTAATCTTCGGTCTGTGCTCAGAGTGATGAGTTAGGGGTCACCTCCTAGCCTGAGCATGACCAGGAGAGGAAGGATCAATGATCGAGCAGGTAAGAGGAGAGCCATCCTGTAGTCCCATGATTCCTCTCAGCCCCAGAGCCATGAGCAGGCTTCCTCTAGAGAATCTTCCTGCTCAACGAATGGCCTCTCAACCCATTCGTGTCACTGGGAGATCCTGGGACAGGATGGGGACATGTTGGGGAAAGAGACTCATGGCAGAGCAAAGTGACGTAGGAGAGCCTGGGGGAGAAAGACAGTCAGGTCTGACGTGTCCTGGGCTGAGGACAAGGGCCTCGGGGAAAAGACATGGATTCTCCCTAACGGTGTAAGATGTGAGCAGCCACCACCAGGACCTGAGGCTGAGGGGGCTCCTCAGTTTCTGTCCAAGTATGTGTGCCCAGCCTCAGGAGGAGGACCTCTGCAAGGTGACAGGGTGAGGCCCAACACCTATTCATTTCCGAGGTTGCCTCATGGCCACTGCCCACCAGGGAGCAGACTGGCTACAGGGCATAGGACAGACACTGGTGTGGACATAGGACAGCTCTCAGACCAACAAGGCCGGGCACCAGTTGTCTCCTCACCTCTGGGTAGGCAGGCTGGGCCTGTTTGGCATCTGGCAAGGGTTTCCCTGTCCGGCATTGGGTGAGTGGGTGAGCCAGCAGGAAGGAACTTTGCTGGGGTGGCTTCTCTGCATAGCCATTTGGTGGCCACTGAGGTGTGAAGGCTTCGCATTCAGACAAGCAGAGCTGGAGGTCAGATCCAAGTCAGTGGCCCCAGGGACTTCTGAGTGTGGGGTCTGACCTGCCACCATCAGCAGCCCTAGGGAGCGCTGGCCCAGATTTCTGTTAGCCCCTTCAGATTAGGGCCTGGCCATTCCTGTGGCAGGTCCTCAGCTAAGGCTGTGGTTCTGGTGTGCTCTCAGGACACCGAGTTACAAGGATGGCAGGTTATGGACTATGGACATTGTCCTCAGCTAAGGCTGTGGTTCTGGTGTGCTCTCAGGAGCCCTCACTCTAAGCACAGGACACCGAGTTACAAGGATGGCAGGTTATGGACTATGGACATTGTCCTGCTCTCACCAGCCTCTCCTTCAGACACAGCGCACCGAGAGGTCCAGGCTCCCAGCCTGCTCTGTGGGTTCCAGTGAGAATCACTAGCCCTTTATTGCCTTAGCGAAAGACCCCACTCAGGACAAGCCTAGCATCCCCCATGGGCTGAGATTCCTATGGAGGAAGACTCCAGCTCTGCTGTGCAACCTGCTCGTGAGCTCCAGCCCTTGGAGCCCTTGGAGCCCTTGGAGCCCCTGGAGCCCCTGGAGCCCCTGGAGCCCCTGGAGCCCCTGGAGCCCCTGGAGCCCCTGACTCTCCCAGGTTCTGAGTAAGATCAGACCCTGGTGCTGACTCTGTGCCAAATGACCTCATTGAGGGGCTGCCAGACCACCCAGGATTCACCAAGAATCTCAGGGAGTTAGATGGAGGGCCTGGGCTCCGATCCCTGCCAGGGTTTGTGACCAGGTTGATAAGAAGTTACCTTTGAACGCACGCCAGGCTGAGCTCAGGCAAGAGGGGAGACTAGAAATTGGGGTCTGGCCTTGGGAGTGGGATTCTCTGGGGTCACAGGGTCCAATCAGAGGACCCCCACAGCCCAGCCCTGAGGCTGAGGCTCCATGCTCGCTGGAGCCTCCCAGGCCTGCTACGAAGCTTGTGAATTATTCACAGGGACTCAGCTCTCTCTGGGGCGTTGGTGAGGGAGGAAGAGTGCCATCCGTGGGAAACTCTATCCTGCCCAGGGAGGCTGTGGGTAACCATGGGCCATGGGGCTGACAAGCTGCAGAGGAGCCAGAGGGCTGGGCAGCTTTGGGAAGGGCCCTGCCAGTGCAGGCCTATGCCTTCGGGGCATTTCAAAGGGCTTGAGGTCACAGGAACACGGAGTACATTCTTTTCCTCTAGTCTACCCCAATTCATTGGACTGCATCTCTCCAGAAAGAGAACTAGCTACAGAACACCTCCCTCCCACTCTGAGCAGGAGAAGGGGGGCCTTCCTCTAAGAACCCTGCAGAACCTAACCTGGGAGTCCTGGAGACAGATGGGCTGACAGTCTGGGACAGAAACACAAGAAACTCACGGTGACTATGGTGTCGGCATCCCCAGACGGGGCGACTGAAAAGCGTAAACCAGCTAGCAGACATCTTTGCTTCCAGACTCTTTGTTTGCTTGTTTTTTTTAAGACAGGGTTTCTCTATGTAACAGCTCTGGCTGTTCTGGAACTCGCTTTGTAGACCAGGCTGGCCTCAAACTCACAGGCATCTGCCTGCCTCTGCCTCCCGAGTGCTGAGATTACAGGCACGCGCCACCACCGCCCTGTTTGGGTTGACTCTTAACAGGGATCGTAAATCCAAGAGTCCCCTTCCGGAATGCCTTTGCCATGCCTGCTTTGGGCTGTTCTCAGCCTTTACTGCAGAGCAGGGCCCTGGGCTCAACCCTGACTGAGCTTTGAGACTGGAGAGTGGGGAAGGCTCCGAGGTCTTCCTCTCAGGCTCCTGGGCCCTTATCATCTGTGAACATAGCCTTCTACATGTCTCTGTTTTCTTACTGTTGGACCCCATGACTAATGACTCTACAGGCTTATCTTCCTTGCTCTGTGTGCCCAGTGTCTGCACGCCGTGGGCCTTTGTTTGCTGATTGATGAGGAGTCTGGAATCCTGGGTCTGTGCCTGACAGGTTACTGCTGGCGACCTTATCTGGAACTCCCTTCCTGCATCTCCCTGTGCCCATTTGGCAAAGGCTCCCAGTCCACCCGCAAGGCCGAGGCCATGGTGGGCACAGGGCTCCTGGCCTGGCTGCCTCTTTTCGCTTACACATTTCTTCACCCCACAAGTAGGTCTGAACTCTGCCCAGCTCACCAGCACCGGGGACACAGTTGTCCCAGCTTAGGAGACACTCACATAGGTTGAGAGCAGCCCCGGCCCCCAGTTTAGAGGAACACTTCTACTCAGGGGTGTGCAGGCTGTCTGTCCCGGGGGGCAGCATAGAGCGGCTCTGCCATAAGCCTTTGTGTAAAAGAACAAGAGAATACAAGGGTGATCAACGCTCGGTGATAAAATTGGGCTGTCTGGTAGGAAGTCATGGCGGAGTCCCTAAAGTTGAGGGGACCAGGATAGGCCTCTATGAAGCAGTCATCCACACAAAGCTCCACTGTAACTGCGTGGCCGTGGCTGGGGCACAGTTGAGAGTCAGGCGGAGGATGGGAGAGACGGCACGTGCTGGAAATGTCACGGGTGTGCGCGCTGTTTCCGTTGCCGTGACAAAATACTGGATAAAAGCCGCTTACAGACGGATTGGTTTGACTCAGTTTAAGAAAAGACATAGCCCATTATCTTATCAGGCAGGAGTTTGGGGTGGAGGGAGCAAGTCAGTGGGAACCCAAGGTGACATCGTGTTCACAGTCAGGAAGCAGAGAGTTGAGCGGGAGCTGAGTGGGTGATCAGCTGGCTCCCTGCTCTCTTCCCGTTTCAAATAGTCCAGGACCCCAGCCAACGGGATCACTTCCCACACGCAGGGTGGGTCTTCTTCTCAGGAACTGTCCTCACACACTCACCTGAGATGTCTCCTAGGTGTGTCTAGATGCAGTCAACCAGACAGTGAAGCTGGGCCAGGCTTGCTGCTGCACTGGGACACCCGTGAACTGGCCGAGACCCTTCCTAAAAATAATGATGTGATTTCCATTTCTCCCCTCCCCCTGCCCAAACCAAGCTCTTGGCATAAACAGGATGTGACTGGCAAATATCTTGTGTGTGCAGACCCTTCCCAAACTCCCTTAGGGCAGGTGTTGTTGGCAGCAGGAGAATAAGCCTGGCGCTGCGGCGAGGGATCACTCCTTGTTCTCGGTGGCTGCACTGGCTGTGAACAGCTCTCTAAGACCCCCAGAAGTAGAGGGAACCCCTTTCCCTAACAGAGGGTCTTCCAGAACATATCACCCTCTTCCCCCAGGAGGAAGACTAGAAGCTACTTAGGATCTACTAGGTCACCTCACACCAGCAGGCCATCTTGGAGCAGGGTTTTTTAAACC